AATCAAATCCTTTTACCACACAAAGTATCAGAATAGTCTTTTCTGTGGCAGAATATTACTGGGTTGACATCTTGGTGGCCTTATTGCCTTTGGATATTGATGCTAATTAGTGGGAAAAACTGTTATGGTGCATCCAGAGGTAGAACTGCTTTTTTAGCCCTGGTCTCCCTCCCAAAATGAAATATCTTTTTAAAATATATATACTTTTTAATACTTTTTTTTTAATTGCTCTATAGGTCTTATCGTTTGTTTGTTGTGTTACAGATCAAAGATGGAAGTGTCAGCTCTGCTTCGCAGCAAACCTCACATAACCTGCGAGAGGAACTGAAGCAGAAAGCAAAGACAAGACAAAGCAGCATCTGACCTTGTCACTGGGGGGCAGAAAACAGCCACTGGCTGCTGCTGGTTGTACTGGTGCTTCAGTCAAGCTCCCTGTGCAACGTGGAATTGCAGATGCCTCAGGAAGTGCAAGTTCTTTCCAGGTCCATGGGGTGAATAAAAATTGTTAACTCTTGGCTTGATTTGTCATCCTTTGGGGGAAAAAAAAAAAAAAGAGTAATGTCAGACTGGCAATTGAATAGTCGTGCTGTTAGACTGAGCGCAAACTGAAGTGGGTTGTTCCGGAGGTGAGAGCAACTCTGGCCAGCAAAGCCAAGGAGAAGCCTGTTCAACTTCACGTCTACCGGGGATTCCTCGGAGAGGTGATGGAGTGAGTAATAAGACAAATTGGGAGTTATAAAGCGGATGCGATAGCTTCAGCAGAACTCCTCTTCACTGCCACATCCGCTCATTAAAAAGCAACTAATGTTATTTTGAAAACAACTGAGGGAAAAAAATGCACTTTGAGTATCTCTGCAGTTCTCATGTCTGCTGCATTCATCAAGAAAATTAGTAACATAACGCAAACGAAGGAGAGGAGCGAATATGGCAAAGGCAGCTAAGGAAATTCAAATGGAGAACCCAGGAGAGGCAGAGACTCACAGCACAGAGGCAGCGTGCTCCCCGTCAGAGGAACAGGCAGAAAAACCCGCCATGCTCTGTTTTAAGAAACGAAAGAAGTCCTGTAAGAAGGGGCTGACCATGAAGGATGCATGTGAAGGAGCCTCAGAGGAGAAAAGCCAAAGTGTCAGTGCCGACCGAGGGGAGGAGAAAGTTTCTAAACAATCGCAATCCTCCAAAGGAGCCTGGGCAGCCATCAAAAACCTCGCAAGACCTCGGAGAAGGCAAAAATCCTCCTCGCGGAAGAAGCTGCCCTCCGATTCCCAAGTGCAGCTGGAGACGGATGCTGAGGAGAGCTGTGCACAAAGCTTCCCAAAGAAACGGGCAAGCTCTGGGGTGAAGATGCCCTGTGTGAGGTTCTCCAGAGGCAAGAAAAAACCCAGCCCCTCTGAGGCAGTGGAGGAGTCGGAGGGCAGCGTTCAAGCAAATGAAGTGGTGGGCATTGTCAATAAAGCTAGTGAAGAGCCGGAGGATTTGGCCCCAACAGACAAGTCTGAGTCCTTCAGCCCAGCCTCTGCAGAGGAGGACCAGGAGGACCAGGAGACCACGAAGGAAAGCACCGACTCCGCTGGGAAGAGTGAGCCCGTGACAGAGCCCACGGCTGATGCAGAGGAGCACACGGAGTGCACCGCTCAGTCAGATAGAACCAATTCAGAGACAGTTAATGAAACAGCCCAGGAAAAACCACAGGAGGGGAGCCTGCCCCAGGAAAAACCACAGGAGGGGAGCCTGCCCCAAACCCCAGTCCAGGTGGAAAGTGGGGAAGGTGCTCCTGAAGCGCCCGTTTCCACGGATCAGCCCGACAGCACCCCTGAAACCACGGAACTGCAGGAAATCCCTAATATCTGCAAAGAGCTGCCTGAAGGGGATGAGTCGGAAAAGAGCATAAATCTTCCTGAGGAGTGCGAAGCCAAAGAGACTGTGACGGATTCCAGTCAGTCGGCATTTAAAGAGGATGCAGCGAGCGTGCAGGGCTGCTCCAGCCATCAGGTGACATTAGAAGCAAACATGGGTGCTGGTGTCAGCATCATCATCACTGTCACCGAAGCCGAGGACTCTGACAACACCGACTCTGATCAGGCCTACGAGCCATCCCCAGTTTTGCACCGAAACAAACAAAAAGGGAATAAAAAATCAAGCGGGAGCTTTGATTTTGGTACAAAAGAGGGCCCTGAAGCTGGTGATGGTCCCCAGGCGGAGGAGAAAGGTCTGGGCGACCAGGGGCACAGAACTGGGGAGCAGTACGAGCTGCTCCTCATAGAAACCGCATCTTCCCTTGTGAAGGCGGCCATTCAGTCGTCCATAGAGCAGCTGGTCAATGAAATGGCCCTGGAACAGAATAAACACAACAGTTTTCTGTGATAGCAGCGATGCCCCCAAAATAAAGAGTACAGGGAGCGATTTAAAGCTCCGTGTGGCCTGGGGGGGGTTGTGGAGAGCTCGAAGGGCTCCTGGGGCCAAGGTGTCGTTAATTCTGCATGCCCGTTCAGTTGTGTGTCTGTGTGAAACGGATCCTGGGACGTGGGGCAGCCCCTGCTGTGTACAGCGTGTCCCTGGGGCTGGGGCTTCAGGCAGCGCCATCGACCACAGCCATGGAAAAATTAAGGTGTTGCAGCGACTATATTTTCATTTATTGGCATTTTTATGTCAAGGTTGTGTTTATGCCATCACCCATGCCGGTTTCCCCGCTGTCCGTGCTGTAGACCTGTAGGTACCATGTGTTTAGCAAAAGGTCCCGAGAGGTGGCGAGTGGCCGACCCGCAGCTGGGCTGAATTCGGGGCGTGTTGGACACGGCTGGAGGTTTGCCCTGGGCTTTGGTGGAGACGAAGGAGGGCAAAGTGACTGCAATGTTAACACGAAGACGGCAATGCCAAACGGTCTAAGGCTGGTGTTTAGTATTGCAAACAGGTTCTCGCTACATACAGATGCCAGAAGCCGCAGTCGCCCTTGCTGTCGCGTCGCGTGAAGCCGGGTGGTTGCAGCAAGCGGTGTTTTTTCATTCGGCCTCTTCCCCTGTCACAAGCAGCCTGTGCATTTCCAGACATGTTAAAGCACAGCATCAGCCGCTCGCCTTGCTGACCCCAGGCTGTGCGAATGCCAAGAAAACGACAGCGCTTCGTTTGCCGGGGGCCCGTTCTTGCACCATTAAGCTCAACGGGAAAAATTCCCAGTGGCATCGGCAGCGCGGGCTGGGCGGGAGCATGTCTGCTGCGGGCAGCCCCTCGCCTTCCTCCACCTTTCTCCATCCCCATCACAATGTCACGGTGAAGCTGTCCTTGGATGTAGCATATTTTTGATATATGGCATGTGATATAAATAGCAGTGAGCTGCATGCGTGTTAGCAAACCATTGCCTCGGTGTTGTCATAGTTTGGGTCGCTGCGATGTGCTGCCGGCGCTGGAATTGCTTTGACTGGGGAGGAGATTTGGTGCGAGCGCTGCTGGCGTCCCTGGGCACAGCCTGTCCTGCACGGCTCCCCCCTCGCTGCGGAGCCTGCCTGACTCCAGCAAGCCCGAGCATCCCTTGGGAAATGTGCATTATGCCCGACTTGCTCTGGCTGGCTCCAGCATGCCATGTAGTTTGCTCTGAAGCATGAAGGGAAATGTCAGAGTGATCTTATCGAAGTCCTCAGGGAAAAAAATCTAGACATGAGGGCTTGGCGACATGGTTGTAAAATGCCCGGACAGGCCAGTCGCCATCAAAACCTATGAAGTGCCCTGCTCCGAGGGGTTTGCACCAACGTAGTGTGTGCATGCGAGCATCACCTCTAACTGCCAGCTCTCCCAAGAGGAAAGGACCTTTTAATAATTTGGGATTGTCTGTGCGTGGCTGAGATTTACGTACAGCTGCGTGCAAGTCAGCCCGTTCTGGGAAAATTATCCTGCATATTTCTCAGCCGATACAGAAATAGCAGCCTCGCTTGCCAGTTGCTCACTGACCGTAGGCGGTACGCTGAGATTTCCCTTCCCAGTGTAGGATTTGGATTCCTGTTCAAATACAAGGGCTGAAAACTTTCCTACTACCTGGTGTGCAACCACATTTTAAACTTTGATAAATCATCTCTGTTGTTAGGAGAGCACTGTGAGCAGTGAGTGCCACAGCTTGTTTCTGTGCAAGTACAACTTAAGAAAAATCAGAGGGTGTTAAAAAAAGAAAGTGTCTTCTTTTTCTGTGAATTTATTTAATAAGTTATCAGATATTGATAATTCAGTGTGTGCAATTCTAATGGCTTTGGACTTCATACTGGTCCTTCCATTTTGCCATAATTTTAAAAGGGATTTTTAAGGACTTTTATATTTACATTTGGAGCTGCTGCCATGCCCTGAGAAGAGCCATACTGATGCTGGAGGTTGCTTATGGGATTGCGTGGGATTATGCTGGTCACCGCGGCAGGTTGATGCCAGGCGAAGGGCTGCAGCATCTCTGTGGGGCCCCGCTGGCACTGGCCAGTGAAGAAACACAACAGGACCCTGCGGGGCCAGGCTGGCATCTTCTGGCAGCCCGCTAAGCAGTTTCGGGAGGATTTAATGTATTTCAGTATTGCCTTTTAGGTGAAACACGTCTTCAAAAGAGGAGGAGGACGGCAGAAATGCTTCGGTCCAGCCCAGCCCCTGCGACTGTTGCTCCACATCCAGGGTTGTGTTTGCATCCTTTCCATAGCTGGATTTTCCCTCGGTTATAGCTATACATAGAACTGACGATTATTTCATTAAAGCTGAATGTACCTGTTGTGTTCTTGCCTCGTGATTGAGTGGGCAGCTATGGAGAGATTTTATACAGGAAAGGATAAACTCACTGTGGTGCTCTGTTGTGCCCAGCTTTTTCAGGCAGCCGTACAGTGAGCAGAAAAAAATCTTAAAAGTTGTTAACAGACCTGAAATCTCTGGGAGGCTCACTCCTCCTGTGCTCTTTTTGTAAGGTTTTTTGGCAGTTGCTGGTCAGTTGTTCCCACCGCAGAGTCCTGGCAGCCCAGGGACTGCTGTAAGGTACCTGTGGAGGATCACAAACCCCGCTGCACGTGGAGAGACACGGCTCTTGCTGACCCCACGCAAGTGATTTGGTTTTCTTGGTGAGCTGCTGGTTGATGCTTTCTGCTCCCAAGGCTCCAGGTTGTTATTTCCAGGCGTCGCTTGGTGCTGACAGGGTCCGTGGTGGGGCTGGCACCTTGGGACGGGGAGCTGCAAGGTCGATGCTTCGGCACTTTCTGTATGGCTCAAAAGGGCCACATACCCTAATTTTTTTTTTTTTTTTCATAACATCTTTCATGTAATTTCTTGAGGCTCTTCTTTGTAACATACAGAAAATATGGGGGGAAAAAAGTTACACATTTGTAATAGTGTTAATACTATTTATTCTTTTAGGTTTACAGAACAAAATACAGACTCATAACAGCTGCTAATGACTTAAATTAAGCCTCTCCTTCATGATGATTAGAGAGCTGAGCATTAATAAAACATTTATCCTTTTGGAGAAGGAATGATAAATTTACTATTGCGAAGGAGTACCAGGCCAGGAAAGCTGTGAGGACACGACTGCCTGGTTGTGCCAGAGCACCAAAGGGTGGCCTGGCTTCAGGACTGCGTTCCTCACTGATAGCTGAAATAAACTGGGATAATACATAACCTTGCTTTCTTATAGCCCCATTCAGATTGGTTTTGGGCCATCTGGCTCCTCATCCAGGAGTCTGTTGCTTGCTGCCCCTCTGAATTATGGAAGTGGTTGCTTTGCAGCAGCATCTTGTGAATTATTTGGTGGCTCTGCTCACCCCACGGCCCCTGCTGCTGCCTTTCTCCCAGATGTTTCCAGCACTCCTCTCAGCAGGGACAATTTGGTTTTACATTCAACAAGTCCCCTCTCCGTGCTTTGCCGTGTCTTTTCGAAGATGTTTGTCTCCCTCAACTTTCTTATATTAGCAGCAAAGAAAAGAGTGTTTAAATAGAATAACTCGTTCCCAGGAAGGCTTCCAGAGGGATGAAAAGCTTTTCTGTTATGTCAACACTGAGCCCAGCAGAAAACAAGTGTATCTTCTGAAAAGCTCCTTGTGGAAATTGCTAGTAGACAATGATGGCACAAACAAATATTGTGTTTTCTTTCCTGCCTTGGGACACCAAAACTACATTAGAAATACACAGGCTGCTTAGGGCCGGATCTCCAGCTGCTGGAGGTCAAAGGACCAAATCTACAGCAGACAGGAATCTAGGGTTTGAATTTAAGATTCTTTCCCTGCATAAATGATGGACATTTCCATATGTGCGCTTATGTATAAAAATGAAAATCCAAGAGTTGTTTTCACATATGAGTGTAAGAAATTGAGTGAATTTATGAAATATATGAGAACCCTGGTCTGTGCTCAGGATGAATGGATGGAAACTGGACCCTGCTGATGGACTCACGTGTTAGGGGCAGCGAAGCCCTAATATTGCCTGTCTTATAGATACAGGGTTTCAACATGAATGACTCAAAACAATTATGTGCTCCAAGAGAACAGATTGATTTAAATGATTTGCTGTAATATTATTTTAGATCTGCAGTTTTATTTGCCAGATAAATGGTTCTTGTTGGGTGGTATTAAAATAATGAAATACTTCCATTTGCAATCAGATAAAATCTTTACATTAAATGTGATTAAAAAAACACCAAACTAATCAGAGGATTATATTTCTTATACAGTTATTTAAGCAACAATATAGGTTAACCTTTGTTAGGAAGCACAACTTCCACCTTTCTTTCTTTTTGCAGAGAATTGTGAAGGGCACAGTACTTCTGTGCTAAAAAATTGGATTTTCCTGCAATGGGGTGAGAGTCTATTTAGCTGGAAAGTGGATTTCAGGTAAAATATCCAAACCCAGTGCTTTAAAATAGGTTTTGTTACATAAAAGCTGACAAACATGCAGGATACAAAAGAGGGGGTAGATGTTAAGAAAACACATTTTGCAATTCAAATTGCTAAGATGAAAGTATCTGCAGCTAGAGCTGACTGGCATCCACCTCATCAGTCCCTAAGTCAGACTTGGCAGAGATCAGCTTTTCAAAGCTCTTGTTTCTGGAAGATCAGATGCTCCCCCCTCCCCGCCAAGGTGGGTGCCCCAGCAGTATCCCTTCTGCAGGTACCGGTGTCCTTGCAGGTGGTGCCTTTCCAGCGCCAAGCCCTGACCGGTGCATGGACACACCGAGCATCCCTTTGCCGTTGTCCCAGAGAGCAAACTTTAATCTTGAGAAGAATGTCATCTCTGCCGTCTAGCGACAGTCATGCGTGTCACGTTTGCTCTCCCTGTTTGCCATTTTAATGCAGACACGAGGCTGAGGTGCCGATGCATCAAGGCTTGGTGCCGTGACAGCTCCATGTGATGTGCGACGAGTG